GGGTTTAGGGTCCCGGCAGGAAGGAAAGAAAAACGGATCCCTTTAACCTTAAAAGCCCCAAACCCAAACCCTCAACCTCATCAACGCACTACCGGAGAGCCTTTCCATCAATCTCGTCAGTCCTCTAAACCAGGCAGCCTGAAGACCTCAAGCATAAGGCCTTCATAAAAGGGGTTTAGGGTTTAGGGGCCTTAATGACTAGAACACTGTTCCTGAAAGCATTCTTTCAAGGCTTCCTTGAAGGGCTCTTCAAAGGGTTCGCTTTAAGGGGTTCTATTAAGGTGACTATCAGGGTTTCCATAGTGGTGTGGGCCTGGATAACTAGAATAGGTTTTTGAAGTGTACTATGCTGTAAACATACTTTGAAGGTTCATATTACTATAAACATCCCCAGGGATCCGAAGGAATTATAGGTGATCATGTAGGCTTTGATGTTAACCCTCAAGCCTACAACCTCATCCAAGACCCCGCACTATACCCTAAAATCCTAAACCCTGCACCCTAAACCCTAAACCCTAAACCCCCCCCCCTCAGGCGAAGGGCACGAGGTCGCGGTCATGATGGGACAACAAGATCGACAGCACTTCGTCGATCCGCAACTCCACCATCCACTGCCGGACGTCCTCATGCCTCGGGGGGGCGTTGCAACCCCTCAGCCCTAAAGCTCAAACCGTGACATTGCAGGCTTCATGTAAGGGCCTTCATAATTAGAATAGGGTTTTGGGGCCCATTATACTATAAGTATAATAAGGAACCCCCCCAGAATAGTATAATTATTCAGGCCCCTATATTCCGGGGCTTATAGCAGGGAACACGGCGTGGCTTAGGGCTTGGGGCTCGAGATGTACTTGGAGGATCCTGGGACTTAGTAAGTAAGGTTATGACTACCTTAACTGGGGATATAACTACTTATAAGTATAGCTACCTTATGTATAACCCTTCTTACTAAAACCAATGATCCTCCAAGTAAGACTTAGGGTCGAGGGTGGTGTGTGACAATTTTCAAACTCTTCAGGCTCAGAGTTTAGGGCTTGAGGCTTAGAGTTTTGGGCTTAGGGTTTGTTGCTGTGTTTAGGGTTTAGGGTTTAGGTCAAAGTTTTGGGTCTAGGGTTTGGGGTTCAGGGTTTAGGGTTTAGGGCTTAGGGTTTGGGGTTCAGGGTTTAAGGTTTTAGAACTCCCAACATTTGCAGACACCACAGATCACTCGGTGATCTTCTCAATAATTGAGACAAGGGCTGTGCTTTCACAGTCCTGGTTCCGATGCTGACAGCATGTCCATGGTGTCGTAGAACTTTGTATGGCTGTGACGTTGCATCTCTGTGCTTTCATGCAGCTCTGATGTCTCTCGTCGTAGTACCCCGAAAATACACTACGGACTACAGATTATGATCATTCTCGATGTCGTGATCACACATCGTCATATCAGACAATAACAAACAATGCCGTCATCAGCATTAACCGAAAATAAACACCACCAGAGTCACTGTCACCATGACTGCTGCTGCTGCCGCTATCACCCTAAACCCTAAACCCTAAGAAGACGAATGGAAAAGCCGCCGTCGTCCGGGTAGTAGTAGCAACAGCGGTAGCCCAAAGTAAGTATCTACTACCGGCCGTGCCTTGGCTTTAGGGGTTTAGGGTTTAGGGTTTAGGGTTTAGGGTTCAGGGCTGAGGGTTCAGAGTTCGGGTTTAGGATATGGGGGC